CCCGTGTCCCCTGCATCGGCAGGCGGACTCCCAACAACTGCGCCACCAGGGAAGCCCTGGGCAGTTGACTTTTAACAAAAGTAATTCAACATGGGAAAGGATAGTCTTATACTATACACAAAAATTAATTCAAAATGAATCATTGACCTATAAAGTGCTACAACTATAAGATCTTTGATCTAAGAGTCAACAAAGATTTTTAAAGCCGGACACAAAATGCAGCAACAGGTTTTTAAAAAGGAAGTTGATAAATTGGGCTTCACCAAAATTAAAAACATTAGTTTTGAGAGACACCATTAGGAGAATGCAAAGGCAAGGTACAGGATAAGAAAATATTTATAATTACATGTATCTGATGAAAGTCAAATATCAAGAATATATAAAGAAGTCTTATAACTCAATAATAAGACAACCCAATAAGGAAAAGGCAAGAGATGTATTTGAACAGAACATCACAAAATAATGGTCAATAAGCATGTGAAAAGATACTCAACATCATTTTCGTCAGGGAAATGTAAATTAAAACCACAGTGAGGGGACTTCCCTGGTGGCGCAGTGGTTGAGAGTCTGCCTGCCGATGCAGGGGACATACAGCCACTTTATTTTCTTAAGTTAAACATACACTTACCTATACAGTGATTCTACTCCTAGCTGTTTGTGCAAAAAATGGAAAACATGTCCTTAAAAAAGACTTACATATTAATGTTTATAGCAGCTCCATTTAAGTAGCATAAACTGAACATGACCATCAACAAGTGGATGGATAAACAAACTGGAATATTTACAAAATGGAATACACCTGAACAGTAAGAAGAAAGTGCAGCTATACATGCAGTACACCATGGATGCTGTCTTGTAGTAGTAAGATATAGAAGAGGTAAAACTTATCTTTAGTGACAGGTTTTGGTTGCTTGAGTCTGGGTTTGGGGGAATTATTGACTGAAAAGGGGCATGAAGGAACTTTTGGAGGTAATAGACCTATTTCATATTTTAATTGGGGTGGTTACACAAATGTATGTATTTGTCAAAACTTTTCAAACTGTACACTTAAAATAGGTGCATTTTAATGCGCATAACTTATTCCTCAAAGTTCATTCTAAAAAGTATAAAAAGGGAATTCTCTGGTGTTCCAGTGGTTAGGACTCCACACTTAAACTGTCGAGGGCGCAGGTTCGATCCCTAGTTGGGGAACTAAGATCCCGCAAGCGAAGTGTTGCAGCCAGAAAATAAATAAATAAAATAAAAAGTAAAACAAACAAAACCAAAGTCTAATACTATAAAAATCATCCGTAAAATAAATCATCTGAACTTCAGTATCAGAAAATACTCTTAATAATTGCTTCATTTTTGCTAGGTGCTTATGAAAATTAACTTGAAATCATGTGTTGTCTTAAGATGTTCCATAGGAAGATCTGTGGCTGTGATTTTGATAATCCTTTGGCAACAAGCTTTGTATAATAAAAGCATCTTTTATGAGAACTACTTCAATTTAATAGCAGAAGCTGCAGGGTTGATGGCTGCCTTTTAGTTCTTTAGTTGAATAGTGAAACCATGTCAGATGGACTGCTGTGTGAATTTCTCTCATTTCCACATTGGATTTAAAATGTGGGGATTATTGTTTCTTTAAAATAAGTAATTCCCTTTGTGTACAGCCCTCATCAAGTGTACAGTTTTTCTGCCCTTTACATTTTTATGCTAAAATAGTTTTATAATTAAATTCTTCCCTATGCCCTTATTATAATTTTATGCACCAAGCAAAATGATTACCTCCAATAGTACATTTTCATTACTATTCAGTTATTTTGATTGTGCAGGGATTTTATATTAGCCCATATATTCTCCAGCTTAAATACTTAGAAAATTTATACAGATATTACTAGTGTTACTAATCATATGGCCTAGTATGTTTGAGTTTGCAAGTAATTTCCATTTTTTTTCCAGCATGATTCCTTATTTCATGGCTCAGTTTTTGTGACGTGCATATATTTATTCTAATTCTTACTGACTTAAGTAAGTTTGCCAATCATTCAACTTTCCAGGATTATGTGACAGTTTATGAGGGTAGTGATATAGAATATTTACAGTTGGGATTTTCAGTGGTCCTGGGACATTTGGTCCACGTTTCACAGGGCTATGTAGACGTGGGTACTCAACAAAGTGCTTGCATTTTTAAATGATGCTTGTTTTTCTACTTTAATCTTTTATGAGATATGGAATAAGACATTAAAAATCATTATCAGGAATCCCCTGGTGGTCCAGTGGTTAAGACTCCAAGCTTCCACTGCAGGGGGCACGGGTTCTATCCCTGGTCAGAGAACTAGGGTCCCACATGCTGCACGGTGTGGCAAAAAATAAATTAATTAGTTATAAATCATTATCTATTGAAATAGATAGCACATAGTGATTTTTATGACATCATTATTGATAGAGGAAGAGGTGACTCAGATTGAGACGAGGGTTGAACGTGTAGCTCAGTCATGCTGTGTTCAAATTATTGTTGCAAGAAAAGAGTTTCTGCATTCTCAGTATATTTGATGTTCTCTTCCTCTGCCCCTTAAGTCTGGGCTTCATGTTCCTCCTGTGGACTCCTGGAGGACCTAGTGCCTCCTCCTCCTTTCAGAGCTTATTCCCCGGAGTGGTAATTGTCTGCTTCTTTACCTAGGCCTCTAGTCGTCTCTAAGATCTTTGTCAGCAGGGAAATACTACACTTCAACTTGGTTTCCTCCACAGTGGCATATAGTGCCAAACACACAGAAGGGCACAATGAATGAATGAACAAGTGGGATTAAGGAAGCAACACAGTCAGTGCCATAATCACTGTCTTTGCCCAAACTGAGTCTGGTTTATGGTAGTAGCATTTCTGATATAAACCTTGACTTTTCAGCTGGTAAAACTAAAGAAATAACGCCTGAACCACGAACCCAGTTCTAGATGTTTTTCTACACCATCATAAATGAGTTCTGCATGATAATGGCACTTTCTGTTTTACTTTTCATAAGCAGTTTCTTTCCTGTTTGGTAGTTGGAACACAACCTGGCTGGGCCTGTTTCCTTATAGTTACAGCATGTTCTACCCACCCACTGTACCAGGCCCTACTGTGGATTATCATAGTTAACTTTCATAACAACTCAATAATACAGGTGGTATGTAGGTACTGGGGAAATTGAAGCTTAAGGAGGTTCAGAAACGTGCCCAAGTTCACACACACAGTAGGTGAAGAGCTCAGGCTCGAAACCAGTCAGGCAGGCTGCAGAGCCTTCACCATTTCTGTTTTATTTTGTTCTATTTTATTTTGTCCTGTTCTATTTTGTTCAAGGAATTTGCCACCGTGGGAAAATTTTGTTTCTGTATTAGAATGCTTTAGTCCTTGATTACAGAGACATTGTATCCCCAAGTTGCTTGGAGCATAATAGGTGTTCAGTAAGTATGGAATTAATGATGAAGTAATGCCTTCCAGAGTGTGCAATAAACTGTTAGGTTAAGTGCTAACCATTTCTTTCATTCCAATTTCTTACATATTCCAATTCTTTCATTTTATGAGTATTCATTTTAGGAAATGATTTGTTCAAGTAGAAAACTCCCCAAACTGCTTTAAAAGATGTCTTCAAAAAACTCTTAGCTTTGAAGACATCACTGCCTTAAATACCCATTCACACATGTAGGAATTTTGACTCTATACTGAACCAAACTTCCACACAGAGTTTAAGGTGGTGCTGTCTCAGGTCCTTCCTGGGGGAGAGAGGTAGTTATTCTCTTATGTCACAAATATCTACTTTGTCATCCTTCCAGGCGCCTAAAGCAAAACAAAACAACACAACCCCCATGGTCCCCCTTGCTTTGGAGGAGGAGGCTCCAGCCTGGTTTTGGAACATGTGAGCATCTGCACGTTCTGAGAAGGCCTCGGATCTTTCTCACTTCTCCTTTCTCCCACTGTCTAGTAATTGCAAATGAGACAAATTGAGACCAATGGGTATTCCCCAGAACCTCAGAGGACCCCGTGCCCCCAGAGCTGCCAGAGAGGTTCTAACACAGGAAGCTCTTCCCTTTTCTGTTTTTGAACCCTCACCTGCTCCCCTTTCTGAACATATCAATTGCCTCCTCACTTAGGAGTTCAGTGGGAAAACCTAGCCACTGCAGAAGGACTGTGACATTGGTTTCAAATGCCATCCCCCAAACCCACATTTTGAAACATCTTACTCCCTCTGTAGCTCCATAACTTTTGTATAAACTTCTGTCCCACTCAGTACCACAACTGGGGCTTTTGAATCTTCTGTGCCCTTCAGTCATCAATATCAATATTCTGTGATTCTAGGACTCCTTTCTTTACATAATCGTTCACTAAATAATTCATTTAATTGGAAGTTCCTAAGTATATATAATTAATCTATTTTCTAAAAAAACAACATAGCATGTAAACATTTTAAGGGAACACTTTTAACTGAAATAAGTGCACAGGTAGAAAAAATATACTGCACCTTGTCCTTTATTTGAACCCTTGCATGTACCCACCTCTGGAATAGCCTGTCTCAAACCAGAGTTTGGTACCTCTCTTTCATGTTGGAGCAGAGTTCATATTCTATTTACTTCATTTCATATAGTCCCTTCCAGAGTTGTTTTTGAAATGTTAATTGCTTTTTTCTGTTATCTTTACATTCAGATTATATTCGGTGTCCATATTGTATGAGGAGATTTAATGAAACCGCAGCCAATCAACACATTAATTTCTGCCGGGTCTTTTATCCAGCCCAGACGGCAGCCAAATTGGCAACCAGGGCACAGGTGAATATCTCTCCCCAAGTGCTGGCTCTTGTGCCCTTACATGCCTAGGGAAAGTAGGTAGAATTTGCTAGGGAACCTGAATTACCCATCCTGAGAAGTGTGAGGATCAAGATAGCCAATTACTGTCACTCATCTTCATGGGACTTGGCTTCTTTTTGAGGGGTGCTTCCCAGCTAACAGCAGCTTTGGGTGTTGTAGAAAAAAGTTTTCTACAGTGTTTGAAGCTTCTTAGGTTGAAGACTTAGATGTATAAGTAGTGCTTCCATAGTATTACAGTAAAATTCTAACCAATGGTGGTTATCAGCCTTAGCCACCTCAAAAAGACTCTTGAACCTGAGGTGAAACTGGCATAAGTGGGGGAAGCCATCACAAGGAGGCCTTGTTCTACAGGTCATGTGTTTGCTCTGTGGAGAGGGGTCTTCACCCTATTCAAAGCCAGAGTCAGCAATTGAAAGTAAATGGATAAAACAGCTGTTGTAAATAGGTACAAATAAGTAAAATAACACCGGACCAGGAAGACAATAGATTTATAAAAACAACACTGGGGAGAGCAGACAGCTCCATACACATCAAAGGTGCCGGGGACATAGCTTACAGCATACCATGAGAACCATTAGTTTCATAAACATGGCTTAGATACCAAGAACAGATTAAACTGTTCTGAATACTTAACAGTATGAAGCATGTTTAGAAAGATTTCCATGATATCCAATATGTAATAGGGATGGGACCCTCTCTAACGATAGCACACCCCACAGACTATGGACCTGAGCTCTAGCTCAGCATATACTAGACAGTTGCTAAATATCTGTGCTGAAGCAGCCACTGTGCCAAGTGCTGGTTAACCAAGGATTTGTGATTCGGAGGAGGAGGTGGCCTTGGAAACAGTGCAGTAGGAAGGTGTAGTGGTTGGCATATACAGGAGCGAGATGGAGGCAGAGGCCACTTGTGATTCAGCAAAGGCTTCAAAGAGGAGCAGATACTTTCTGCAAAATAGCAGATGGGTTTACCAGTCTAGATTTGAAGTTGGGAAGGACACTGTGCACAAAGTGTCCAGCTCATGGCCTGAGGAGCCCGCCACGTGGAGCAAGCCTAGAGTGCCTGTGGCTGAGTGACGGGATGGGACAGTTCAGGTGAGGGTCAGAGCCACAAGGGCTTTAAGCCAGGCTGGCTCAGAGAGGAGGAAAAAGGGGATTAAGTGAATAGGTGCCCTAAATCTGAGGCCAACCAGCCTGAGGGCCTGGAAGCAGGAATTGAAAGTTCCCTGGAACCCAGGAAGTCCTGTCCATCTTTCCATCTTGTCTCTTCTTCCTGCTCTGCTGCTGCTTTCTCTTCTCCCTGCAGACTGACCTTCTCAGCTTTTCTGTCCAACCATCCATCACTGGCCTCATGTGTCATTCTATATGCAGTGTAAACTGGTCACATAGTGCAGATTGGAGTGACATGGAATTGGTTTTTTAGAAAGATCACCCTTGCAGTTAGTGTTCAAGATGGTTTGGCGAGAGACCAGTTAGAAGCCACAACAACAGGAAAAGAAAATGAGGGCTCAGAGTAAGAGGACTAATGGGGGGTGTGTGTGTGGAGGAGCGGGTAGATTTAGGAAATAATTGTTGGGACGGAGAAGCTGATCGAATATAAGGTAAAAGAGGATCAGGGTTGGCAGAAAGGTTTTTAGCTCCAGAGCCTGGCAGATAATACGACACATCTAGATAAAGGAACACAGGAGGCAGGAGATAGGTGTGTTGGTGGGGCAGGCAAGGTGGTTATGATAAATATAGTTGTAGAGATTCAGTCTTTACACCTGAAATATCATGGGGAGCAGTGCAATGTAGAAAGAGCCCAGATTTTTCAGTCAGTAGTCAGGGTTTGACTTTCAGTTTTATATTATCTACAGGTAAACTTGGAAAAGTTACTTAAATTCTTTGAGGCTCACTTTAACGTGTGTCTTGCCGAGCTGTTGGGAGGATTATAGGTAATACCAGTACAGTGCCTTGCACACAGGGTGCCCTGGCCTTTTCCTCTTTCCACATTGCCGCGCCCTCCTTCCCCTCTCATGGTCTTTTCCTATAGTGGGATAGGCCTCACAATTTGGGGGGGAATATGACTGCTTTGGGCTTGACTTCAACTTAGTTTTGGAAAAAGGACAACTCTATACTTCCTAAAGCAGTAAACGGTGCATTATGTTTCTTCGAACGATTCTTCTAAACCAGTCCACAAAGTTAGTGGGCGTCAGTGGGCCCAAGGGGAGCAGAGGGAAGCAGCGGACGGAAGTGCTTTTTATTCCTGAAGAAGGCCAGCTGGCCGTCCTGAGTGCAACCAGTGACTTGGCCCTGTTCCTCTCCTTGTTTTCCAGAGCTAAGTGGTGATTGGGAACACAGAAGAAAAATTGCTTGCTTTCTGAATTGCTTGCTTTCTGAGTAAACTCGCTGTAGAGTGTATTTGAACAGCAGCGCTGTTTCCCTTATGCCAGCTTCACCACTCTGGGGCCCTGCCTAATAGTGGAGCTTATTCAGAAGGAGAACAAAAAGGGAGGTGTTGTTTCAGTTTTGAAGGGCTGTTAACAGCACAGCTGAAATGTGTTTCTATTTTAAACACAATCAAGTATAAAAATGTGTCATACCCTTAACCAAAAGAGACCAGTATGGGCCTCTGAAAATAGCTTTCTTTGTTTGGCTGCGGATGAGCTGCCTGCTATAGCCTCCTAGCTCTCCTTGCCCAAGTGAGGATTCTCACTTGGAGGAACAGGTTATCTTTATACTGGAGTTGCCATGGAGATGTTGAGGGATCAGTAGCGAGGTAAAAAGGAGCATACAGAGGAGCTCCCAAGGAGCCTTTTGCTCCTTCTTCTGTACTAATGTGACTTTTCTGCTACTGCTGCTCAGCAGGGAGGGGAGTGGCATGGAGATGTTGGAATTCCATGTTTAAAACACTTTCTGCCTGCCAGTGTCTGTTTTTCTTCTCTGTTCATGTATTTAAAAACAAAATCATCTTCAAGTGTAATGAAAAACTAAAATGTTCCATAACTATCCTTATTGACATTAAGTGATTTCTTATGTCTCCATACAACTAATTTTACAGGATTAAAATATCACCACTCCACCAAGGGCTTGATTATGGAATGAAAGCTCTAAAACCCCAGACATGGTTTTGAGCCCCAGCAGGGAGGACAGGAATGAGGCTGCTAAGGTACAGGGTGTGTGCGTCCCCCTCCCCTGGGTGTCGCAGGTCCCAGACATGACTCCAGCCTGCTGCTGGTGAAGGGGAGACAGCTTTACATCCTGTGTGCTACCTGAGGTTACAGAACTCTTCCCCTCTGCCCCCTCTCTCTCTGTCTTTGTCTCTCTCTTTCTCTGTGTCTTTCTGTCTCTCTCTCTCTGTAGGGTAGGGTTCAGATGAGTCCAAAAAAAGGAACGACTGTAACCAGTGCCATGGGAGCTCTGCTGCAGAACAGGGCCCTGGAGGCCAGTGTGGTCCCAAGCAGGCCAGGTGAGTTGGAGTGAGCATCTCAACTATCGAATGACAGAGTCAAGGGGGCCACTGTTGGCTTTGGGATTTGCTGGCAGTCAGCAAAAGCAATGACATCTAAAGTTGCTTTGGGACATAAAGATATGTGGGTTTGTTTGAGGTTAAAATTTATTTGCCAAGAAAGGATATTTCCTAATTTACCAAGATTAGACAACTCTGAAAATGTACAAAGTTAGATCTGATTACAACAGCAGGGTCTAGAACCAATGTTCTCTGGTCTGGTAAAATTAAAAAGAGATTAAAGATAGGAGATGGCAGTGTGCCAGGTTTTGTGTTGAAAATAAGGGAAGAAAATGAAATCACTGTCTCAGAGAGATATTCATAGTCCCATGTTCATTACAGCATTTTTCAAATAGCCAAGATATAGAAACAACTGACGTGTCCGTTGATGGATGAATGGATAAAGATGGGATATATATTATTCAACAATGAAAAGAAAAGGAAATCCTACCATTTTCGACAACATGGATAAACCTGGAGGGCATTATGCTAAGTGAAATAAGTCAGAGAGAAGGAGGACAAATACTGTATGCCCTCACTTATGTGTGGAACCTTAAGAAGTTAAACTCGTAAAAACAGAATAGAATGGTGGTTGCCATGGGTGGAGGGTAGGGTGGGAGAAATGGGGAGATGTTGGTCAAAGGGTACAAACTTCCAGTAATAAGATGAATAAGTTCTGAGGATCTAAAGTACAGCATGGTGACTCTAGTTAACAATACTGTATTATATACTTAAAAACTGCTAAGAGAGTAGATCTTAAATGTTCTCACCACATATACACAAAAGTAACTATGTGAGGTGATGGGTGTGTTAACTAATCTTATTGTGGTGATCATTTTGCAATATATACGTGTATCAATGATCATATTGTACACCTTAAACTTATATATTATATTCAATTAGATCTCAATAAGGCTGGAAAAAAAGAAAAAAGGGAAGAATTTCCTTCCTAGAATGAAATAACTTCTTCAAAGAAGCAAAAAGGTATGACCACCGTTATAGTACCTACTATACGCTTGACCCATTTCATTTAATCGTCACAATAATCCTCCAAATGTTGTAATCTATGGAAGGGGAAACTGAGGCTCAGTTAAGGCACACAACTGGTAAACAGCAGAGCTGGATTAGATATCTACTGTGCTTTCTCTCTTCATTGAGCTGCATTAGTAATAGTGCGCATTCTTCTTTATGATCAGCATGTACTATGAAGGCAATATGAATTAATTCATGATCATATTGGCCCGTCTGGTCACAAGTCTTATTTTGAAGGTATTATCAGAACCAGAATAAGAAGTGCCAATTTCACAGTCAAAGTAATAATAGCACTAGAAATTTTTATCATTAGTTTTTAAATTCCTCATGAGTTGCTTATCATGGGCTTAAAAATTGAATTGATATTTTAAAAATTTCCCCACAGCCATCTAAACTCAAATCATTAGTTTTCTCCTGGTCTGCAAAAACTTAACAATGGGGTAGGTTTTAGTTTTCACTTAGAAAAAAAATAATTCAAATTATATATGTGTTCTTTTGGTAAAACTTCCACTAACAAGCTTTTTTCTAAAGTGTAACAATTAGTGTCCTTCAGAAAAGACAGTTTCTTTCTACTATAGCTTCTTTTCTTATTTTTTCAACAAATGTATTATAATGCTTCCCTTCCAGTGAAAAACATCCTTTTGATTTTGAGGTTGAAGCTTATTTGCCAAGAGGGAATATTTCTTAATTCATTGGGATTAGACAACTCTGACAGTGTGCCAAGTCAAATCTGAGTACAGCCTCGGAGTCCAGGACTTTCATTCCCCACTCTAGTAAACCTGGAAAGAGACTGGGAATCGGGGGAGACAGGCGTAGTGTTGAAAATAGGGGAAGAGTTTCCTTCTGTGAACTAAATAATTTCTTTAAAGCAGCAGCAAGGCATCAGTGGAAAGGTCCTGAATTAGGGCTTAGCAGTCCAGTGTCCCAGTATGTGGCATTAAGCGGGACGCTACAAAGACACCATTCTGATACACTAGGAAACAGAGGAGTAGGCCAGCAGATCTAAGCAAAACGGTATTACATTTGTTCTTGACTAGTTAGTGGTGGTTATAACTACTGTGATGTTGCCAAGTAAAAGGCAGAGTCCAGCATGGTCCACACTAGGTTCTGTGCCACCAACTGACCTCACCGTCCACTGTCTCTCAGTCCAGCTGCAGCGGCCTGTGTTGCTCCTGCTCACTCCCAGCTCAGGGCCTTTGCACTGGCGGCCCCCTCTGCTGAAAGCCAAAGCCCTCCCTCACTGATGTGCACTGCTGTCTCCCTCCCTCCCTCCCTCCAGTTCTGTGCCGAGTGTCCTCTTCCCCGTGCGCCTCACCCCCAGCCTCTGTATTTAGAAGTGATCAAGGCCTCCATAATTCTCTTTGTAGTTTTTCAAAATGGCATTTATCATCATCTGATTTCATTACAGGTTTATCTCCTTCTCGTCCCCCCCACCCCCAGAAAAAGGGATGTAAGTTTCAAGAAGGCAAGGATCTGTCTGCTTGGTCTATTTTGTATTATGCTGCTGTATCCCTAGCTTTTAGAATTGTTCACGGCAGTTATGAAGTGCTCAGTAAATACTTTTTGAATGAAATATGTTGGAGAAAAGTGGGTATCTTGCGTCTATAATTTCTCACTTAGATTACTGGCATATGATAGAATTGTCCTGTTAATTAGCTTTAAGAGGTAGCTTTTTGTTTTATTTCATGCTTAAGATGCTTTTTCAAGTTAATTTCTATTCTTTCCTGTGGCCTCACCTGTTTACATTTAAAATTAAAATTGTCAGGGTTAGTGTGCCTTTAAATTAGGCACATTTCATTCGGAGCCATTCTGGGGAGGAAGCAGAAGTGTACTGAGGGGAGGTTAATTTTCAAAACTCTTTAAGGCTTGGAGAAAAGCACTGAGTCCCTCTTGCTAATGTAAACAGGCCCTTGTGTGAATCAGATTCGCATCTCCTGGCCATTGTTTTTGTTCTGGTCAGTATTAATCTATTTGTAATATGAGGGCCTTTTAATAATTGTTGTTGGTCTTGCTATTTCTACATTGACAGTCGATAGTTAGGCTACTTGGTGTCACTCGCCTTCCACTTAAATTCTTTACTGTCTTCATCTAGCTGGTAGTTAGCCCTCTAAAACTCTGGCTATCATTCTTTAACTCTCTTGAGTAAAATAAGCATTTAGAATCTCTCATTTAATAACATTTTGTTCTGAATTCACAGTCAGGGGAAATGTGTGTCAGGCACAATCCTTATCCATCCCAGAGTCTTCTAAGAAGTTTTGTATGTACAGGAAAATCTCTGCCCGAGAGAACATGTGATGTTACACGAAGTTGATACACAGCTGCCAGGGATGTTCAAAAGGATTCATTCACTCAGCACGTAGTTATTGTGTATGGTTGTTTCTTACACCCATGGATTCTTTAAAAAGTCTAGGGGGAGAGGCAGTCAGTAATCATTAGTATCTAATATTTAACAGTGGTATATAAAAGTCCTAAGGGAATCAAGAGATCAACTTTGCTGAGGAGGCTTTATGGAGGAGGTGACAGTCTGAGAGAGAGGAAGCTTCATAGAGGTAGAGGCATTTGGGATGAGCTTTCAGGATGAGCTACATTTTTTTTTTTTTAACTCAGCCTCAGTTTCTTTGTTTTGTTTTGTTTTGAATTTATTTAGTTGTGCTGGGTCTTAGTTGCAGCAGGTGGGCTCCTTAGTTGTGGCTTGCCAGCTCCTTAGTTGCAGCAGGCAGGCTCCTTAGTTGCGGCTCGCCAGCTCCTTAGGTGAGGCACGTGGGCTCCTCGGTGCGGCATGCATGTGGGATCTAGTTCCCTGACCAGGGATTGAATCCAGGCCCCCTGCATTGGGAGCACGGAGTCTTTTTTTTTTTCTTACTATTTTTTTTTAACATCTTTATTGGAGTATAATTGCTTTACAATGGTGTGTTAGTTTCTGCTTTATAACAAAGTGAATCAGCTATACATATACATGTATCCCCATATCTCCTCCCTCTTGTGTCTCCCTCCCACCGTCCCTATCCCACCCCTCTAGGTGGTCACAAATCACCAAACTGATCTTCCTGTGCTATGCGGCTGCTTCCCACTAGCTATCTGTTTTACATTTGGTAGTATATATAAGTCCATGCCACTCTCTCACTTCGTCCCGGCTTACCCTTCCCCCTCCGCATGTCCTCAAGTCCATTCTCTACGTCTGCATCTTTATTCCTGCCCTGCTCCTAGGTTCTTCAGAACCATTTTTTTTCCTTTAGATTCCATATATATGTGTTAGCATATAGTATTTATTTTTCTCTTTCTGACTTATTTCACTCTGTATGACAGACTCTAGGTCCATCCACCTCACTACAAATAACAATTTTGTTTCTTTTTATGGCTGAGTAATGTACCATTGTATATATGTGCCACATCTTCTTTATCCATTCATGGGAGCACGGAGTCTTATCCATTTCACCACCAGGGAAGTCCCAGGATGAGCTAGATTTTGACCAATGGAGAAAAGTTGCAGAAGCAATGAACAAAGATATGGAAATAAGAATGCAGAGGACATACTCTGGAAACAAATGGCCCATTTGGCCAAAGCACGGAGAAGAACTGGGGTTAAAGTTAGAATGGAAGGCTGACACTAGAGCAAGGAGGGCCGTAAAGCTTGGCGAGACGTCCAGACTTTATGTGATTAACACCGATGCTGGTGTCACATCCCCAGGCACGTGCATCTGTGTAAGTTAGACTATAATGATGACTTAGAAATTAGTTCTTGGCTCTAGACACTTTAAGTTAGTCTACAAAAATGTCTCTTGAGAAAGAGCATTTTTTTTAAATTGCCATGTAAGAAATTAATGCTTACTGTAGAAGATATTGGAAAATGATATAAAGAAATGGTATAAATGGTATAAAGAAAAAGTGTAAAGAAAATAAAAGACGTCCATAATTCCACACCCTGTTAACATTGATATCTCTTTTCATTTTCTCTCTTTATACTCCTTTTTTGTTTTCCTTTTATCAAAGCTAGGATCATAGTCTGTGTACACTTCCTGACTTTTTTTCACTAACAAACTTTGAACATTTCCCTATGGCAAAGAGTTTCTTTAAAAACATGGTATCATATCACAAAAATACAATGTAACTTGTTTATCTGTTTTCCTGACTTGAATAGGTAGGTTGTTTCTACTTTTTTGCTATACTGAATATCCCTTCTTCATGGACAGTAGCCCATGCTTAATTGTACACTCTTCTAAGCTCTTCATATATTAATCTTCATTAATCCTCATTTAATCCTCAAAGTAACACAGGGGAGTAGACATATTATTCATATCCCTAGTTTACAGGTGAGGAAAGCGCAGAGAGGAAAAGCAACATACACAAGTAATTTTTAATAGGAAATGGTAGAGCCAAGCAAATCTTTATCTACTTTGGGAAAACTGGGTCAAAAAATATAAAAGATTAAGGAGATAATTATATAAACATATTTATATATTATTATATATTATATTATTTAGTACATATTATATACTAGTATATATTATATATTACTTAGTAGGCATATATTATTTAGTAGATATATGTTAGGAAATTGTTTTAGAAAAAAGGTGTGGCTCTTCCTTCATTCTCACGAAGATTCTAATGTTCAGATGGGAACTGAGTTTATAGCCTAGTCAGCAAGTATCTACATGGCTATTTTCTCAAGGGTTTTGATATAAGAGTGACAGATTTACAGGGAAGGTACCTCTGGGCAGCAGCTTCTCCAGCACCTTTATACAGAGAGACTAAGATCACTGTGAAAATGTAGTTCTGGGTTCTAGAGCTGCATTGCTTCATATATTTAGTGAATTGCCTATAAAGTTTTGTTGGTGTAGGTTCTGCTTTGGTTTCTGGAGCCAGTGGATTTGATCAGGTTAAGCATCTTCCCTGCACTAGCCTCCCCCTCCTTACCTAACCTAATTGCGTAGCAAATATAATGAGTTTTGAAGGGTCAGTTGCTGATTCCTTGGAAAAAATAAAACTTGGAGATCTTTGGGTAATATGAACACTGAGTTCTTTCTATCCTGTGTTCTTTGATATTGATTCACAATTTCCTTGGGTTGTTTGGTTATTCCCCCTTCGTAAAACACTGATTAGATAGAAAGGAGGCCTCTAGGACAGAGAGCACTAATTCTTTTTTTTTTTTTTAATGATTTCCTTGAGAATCCTGTCCCATACCATGTGGTCCTTTAAAACAGACTATGGTATGGTATGCCTATATCCATAAACTCCTACGTCTCCATACCTAGCAGTGCTGCTGGACACGAAGGAAAAGAGTCCTGTTTGGGGATTGAGTCCATCACTGTGTAAATAACGCCTGGGAGGGAAGGCATCTCATGCTTCCATAAGGCTTATCAAACCCTTTCTAGCATGAAAGCAGGCAAAGAATTGTGAAGACATGAAATACTCAGGATATATTTTGAAAGCCAGGGCAGTAGTGGGGAGAGGTGTTGAGGGTCAGCTTGTATAATTTATTTATTTTTGCTGTGTTGGGTCTGAGTTTCTGTGCGAGGGCTTTCTCTAGTTGTGGCAAGCGGGGGCCACTCTTCATTGCAGTGCGCGAGCCTCTCACTATCGCGGTCTCTCTTGTTGCGGAGCACAGGCTCCAGACACGCAGGCTCGATAGCTGTGGCTCACGGGCCCAGCTGCTCCGCCGCATGTGGGATCCTCCCAGACCAGGGCTCGAACCCGTGTCTCCCGCATTAGCAGGCAGATTCTCAACCACTGCGCCACCAGGGAAGCCCAAGGGTCAGCTTGTATAAATGGTGGCCCACCGAGGTGGTGGTCCAAAGGGCCCATCCATGGGCAAGTGAAGGCCTAGGGGTAGAGGAGAGAAGGCTCCTGAGACAGTTTCTGTTTTCCTTATTATTTGGCCCAGGATGGGGACTGAGAACTTGACTATAGCTACAAAACTAAACAAAACAAAAGAAGAATAGAGATTTTTGAAACCAGTGTGAGGATTTCGTAATCATTCCTTTTTTCTGTTGTTGCTAATGTTTGCTTTTACATAATAACAAATCTGTTTATGTCTGCAAAGGATTAGCAGTGGACCCTGCTTCTGGAGCAAAACTCAGACAAGGATTTACTAAATCTTCTAAAAAAAGATTAACTCCTAGAGGCCAGGTAAGAAAAAAAAAAAAAACCTTTAATCCAGGTGTTGCCGATCATCCAATGGGCAAGACAGTTAATGAGCCTTTAAGAGAATGAATCCATAGCAGGCCAATCAGAGGAATTTGGGCAAATCCTGATTTGTGTTACTAAAATGTATGTTCTTGAAATTTACTCTTTTGTTAAACATATAGTTTGAAATGACATTCAGTTTTTGTTCCTTGGATTTAACAGGAAAGGGGAATGATTTTTCATTTTGACCTGGAAGGTTACTGCCCTGTCCCTTTTTCCAAACAAGGAAATCTCAGTTCCCTGAGATTGACACTGAATGGGACTGCTGTGAAGTTGGAGACTTTTTGATATGTGAATTGTTAAAACAATTAAAATTTTAAGAGGCCTGTATTACTTAACATTCTCAATGTGGAAACAACGAAGTCCTAAAGTAAATGCCTTTTCTTTCTGCTTTCAGACTGGCTCCCTAAAAGTCCTCAGCCTGGATGGCTGTGTTCCCAGGAAAGCCACCTAAGGGGGAGGAGGGGGAGGCATCTGTTTACATGCCCATGATTTCTCTTGAGACATCATGTAGAACAAGTGAAAACTAGCTTCCAATTTTCCTATCTACTCCCTTCAAAATTCCCCCCACATCGTTAAACAACACATCAACCTGTGTGATAATGCTTGATTTAAAGATGAGTTTGAAGCTTTTTTTTTTTAAGTGGACATTTAATAAGCTTTTAAAGAAAATGTTGCTTTGATATTAGAAACTTTTAGTGAAACAGTCTTCGGTGTACTAACACTATCGCTTTCTAGGGAAATCATTTTTTACCTTAGCTTTATTCTATATAATAGCTGTGAAATGTCAGCTTTGTTATTGGCTTCTAATGAACATTAAACTATAATTAGTAACCATTCCTATTTTAAATGTCTATCTGTATACCATGTATAATTGTCTCACATACACCAGTGTACACAGTTGATTTGGGGGAACACTACAGTGGAAGGAACAGGTTACAGTAACCTTCCCACCGTGTGGAGAGGATGCTCTAAGTGGCCTCAGGCCATTTATTTATCATGGCCAACTTGGCAGTCAACTGTTCATTTCACCATTGGTTTATGTAGCTCTGTTGGGAGGTGGTGTCTCAACTTTTTTTCCCTTGGTCATCTTAAGGGTTAGTAAACTCTTTTTGTAGAGTCTTTTATACTTAACTCTTGCTTTTTAATCTAAGAATTTTTTTATCTTTTATTAAACCCAAGGAATTTTATTTAGGAGTAAGCCATTTTTTTCTGTCTAATTAGTAGAATACTGACCTACTCCCACCTGTGGTACAGCAAACATGACATCTGAAAGTCTTACAATCTGTATTTTGGGAACTAAATGCTATGTTTTATGCTCAGGTAAATCAGGTATGTGTTCTGGAATTGACTGAAGACTCGTAAGCCACATAAAAGTATTTATGGAACCTTCTGTAAATGGAATTTGGGAAGCTTTAGCTGAGGGGAGCTGCCACTCTACCACTCTCCGCTTGCTCTGAGAGATTGCTTTCCCTTGGAGAGGTAAGTGGATTTGGGAACTGAGACATCCCAGAGCAGTAGATTCCTACTGACGAGGTAACCTGTGTCCCTCTGTCTCATTTCTTCACCGCAAGTGAAACCATAGTTTAAGGACCCACCATGTCAGTTCCACACATGCAACAGCCCGGCCCCAGGTAGCTTATCTACAATGCCTCCCACCCTTTATGGTCATCAGCATCACCTTTAAGGACTGTGAACCATGGTTTCTCACATTTGGCTAATATGCTGCTTTAATGGGCAAACGAACTCAAGGTTTCCCTTTCTCTACCCACCCCCACCCTATTTCGAGGTAAAACAAGCAAAAATAAACAGTATTATGGGGGAATATTTTCTGAAGAAATCCCAATATGAAATAATTTCTAATTTGTACTAGAAATTAATAGTAAACACGAGTGTAAAACGGGATCATGGTAGCCTAGGCTAGACAAAACTTTAGTAGCTAGTATTCTGACCGTATATATCAGAAATAAATTACATAGTATTCTGGAAGGATTCAGAATGTTATACAGTAATTTTTAGAAATAAGTTCTTAGCACTGTGAATTTATTGAAGCATATAAGCTCCTACCTTAAATCATTTTACTCAAAAAAAAAAAAAAAAAGGTGGGGGGGGGTTAGTTTCTAATAGATGCTGGCTAGAGGTCAGAATAGTAGTTTCTGTAGGGGATGTAATGGCCAGGAGGGGGCATAAGGGAGCCGGCCAAGGAACTGGAACTGTTTTCTATCTCAGTGTGGATAGTTCCGCGGTGTGGTTGTATATAAAAATTAATCGAGCCACGTGCAGAATTTGTAGAGTTTATTATACGTAAGATATATCTTCATGTAGAAAGTCTCTAAACACAAAAGACAAAGGAGCTTTAAAAAAAGGTTAGGTTTTATATTTTAAAAACTCATTAGATACCAAATTCAAGAGATAGATTATAGTTACATTGTAAAACGTTATCTTTTTTGAATAAAACTAATATTGACTTAAATGATGAATTTTAAAATGCATTTACTTATTGGTGATTAAAAATACTTAAGCAGAGTAGTATTTTAAGCCAGACAGAGCAAAGGAAATTCTTGTTTAATATATATATATATATATATATTTTTTAAATTCCAGTAATATTCTTAAATTCCTGTTAAAAATATAATCAATATTAAAGTCAGTAAAATGCCTTTTTTGACTGACGCCTGGATTATTTTACTGCTTAACCTGGTTACACAGTGATTTTTTTTTTTTTTTTTCTGTCAGATGTAACTGACAGTCAGTTTTAGTCTTTAAGATAAATGAAGTGATAACTCACATTGTAGCATCCTGTGGAAAATATTCAAACTACACTTAAAATGCTTTTTTAAAATGGAGACATCTATTATTCCACAAGAAATTGTTTCTGTAAAACTATAGGTTGGCTATGGCAATAGTAACTAAACTACATCCAACCCTGAAGGTAGAAAAATCCCTGAAAAGAAATACACAGCCTAGTCATAATATGCAATATAAAGGTTATTTTCTTATTTTAAAAATTCTCCCATTTTGGAGAAATCCAAACCTTTCTGTAGTTCCCTTACTAGGCAGTGCCACATAAAGTTATTTAGTTAACATTATTATGATCATGGCTTACGATTAAGTTCAATTTGACAAACACCTATATATAGCAGCCCTCGTATGGATGTCGGTTATGACAATGGTTGCAGTTCCATTAAAGAATACTTGCTTATTAAATTTGGTACAAAGCATGAATACTCAGGACAGATTGGCACAATACATGCAGTTCGAGAACTGTCTTCTCTCAAGCCAGTCATCACTGAATAAGCCATATTCCAGTCCTGCTTTCTAACGCTTTCCTTGTATCATAACTGATGTTTAAAATGCTTCTTAAAACATCTTCCAGAATAAGAACGGTACGCTTTAAAAACCAGTCATCTGAATGCATGGTGGAAATGAGGCAGGATAGCTGAACCAGTGCCAGCTGGGAAAACATGGGGGATGGGGGGCAGGGGGAGCTGGCCCAGGCTCATAGTGCTCATGGCGAGTGAGGGGTCTTGTTGCTGCTGCCCCAGACAGCTTAACCTGTGGGGCAGAGATTCCCCAGGCCCCAGGGTGAGACTGCTATTCCCAAAGGCATTTTGGGTAGCAGGAGGGGGCAGCTGCCAGAAGCCCAACAGAGGGGAAAGGTCCAAAGAGGCAGGTATTGTTAGGTTCACAGCGTCTGCAGGTAGCTCCTTGGGCAGGTTTACTTTACCAGCACCTCCCTTAGCCAGATCAAAACCTGGGTTGAGCTTGTGAGGTGACTGAGGCTCTTGCAGAGGCAAGTCCTCAAGCAAATTGGTATTGCAAAATCCTTTAGTATCCGCTTTGAGGGGCAGGCTTGCAAGTGGGGAGTACGAGGTAGAGCCGGTGCTGTACTTGTGATTCTGGAGGGGCGGGGGAGGAGAGCTGGGGGACGCTACGGGGCGGAGCGGGGCCAGGAGCTCGGGCAGCGCTGGCACAGGCTGGGGGGTGTGCTCCGAGGGGCCGTGGGCGTGGCTGTGTACCTCGGCTGGCAGGCCGCTTGCGAGCCCGTTCTGTGCAGGAGCCCCTAGAGGGAAAGGAGGCAGTGGGGCGGCCTTCAGCTGGAACTGGGGGGAGAGGGAGTGGAAGGTGTTCAGAAGGTCTCCGGACTGCAGACTCTCTTTCATCAGCTCCTGTGAGTGTGTCTTCTTGGTGTGTCGCGTGAGGTGGTCTTTGCGCCCAAACCTCTGGGCACAGAACTGACACAGGAAGTCCTTGCAGCCTGTGTGGACCACCAGGTGGCGCCGCACGTCTTTCCGGGTGTAGAAGCATCTCTCGCAGTGGTCGCACTGGTGCTTCTTCTCCTTGGCTCCACTCGGGGGCTTCTCTTCGGCGTGGGCCTTGAGGTGGTCCAGCAGCACCTCCGTGCTCCCTAGTTCCAGGGCACACACCCCGCAGGTGAGGTCGCCACTGCTGGCCGCGTGCAGGGCCAGGTGCCTCTTGTAGCCCAGCATGGTGTTGTACTTCTTGCCGCACTCCTCGCACCCAAAGGCCATTTTGTTGGGGTCGTGCGTCTGGAGGTGGTTTTTCAGGTGGTCTTTGCGGTTGAAAGTCTTCTCACAGTGAGCGCACTGGTGGGACTTCTGGGGCGAGTGGGTAGCCATGTGCCTAGGAGCAGAAGGAAGAAGTTCACAATAGACCCAGTGTTTTAAGAGCCGGAGAAACGCAGAGAAACAAACTATTAAAATGTTGAGAGTAGTTTTCTCTAGGTGGTGGCATATGTGTTTTGGTTTTAAAATACTCTTCTGTGTTTTCCAGATACTACACATAAACTTCAAACAAACAAAAAAAAAACAGGTACTACGCGATGCCGTTTTCACACATGTAGAGAATATGCTTCGAGGACACATTTTCCTAATGTACACAAAGAGATTTCTAAACAAATACAAGTATACAAGCATTTTAAGATACATGATCATGAAGAAATATTTTTCAGGAAGGGGTTTAAATGACTATTCTATACTCTTAAAATTTCTGAATTTCCAGAAGTGATCCAATTTGCCTTCTACACATAACCCCATACCCCTGCCCACCAGTGCTGTTATTTTTATTGCTTCCAGTACAATTTCTGCTTGGTCTTTATTGAGACAAAAAGTTCAGGCCTTAGACATAAAGCTAAAAAGTCTATCATCTTTAACCTCAGAGAAAGTGTCTAACTGGACCCAGAATGCCAACCCCACCACCTGTTGTTCTCGGAGCGTCAGCCTCCTGCCTCCCATGAGACCTTTACGCTGAAGTCTTAGTTTCTGGCGTTTAATACTTTCCTGTTGGCTGTCGTGTCACATGCGTGCAGCCCGTCTCCATTTCTTCAGGATCCCTCTTAGACACCTTCAACTCACTTCCTAAAGGCCACTAGTAATTCCTTTGGCAAAGTTCAAAAGGACTTTTTCTAGAAGGACTAAGACAGTAGAGGGAAACATACACTGCGGCAGGTTCTATGAGACAGGTACAAACAGTGTTGAGGAACGGGGACAATGCAACAGGCATTTGGGGGATCTGAAGTGATGCTGGCCTCTCCAAGTTTCACATGCATATTTAAATACATTCATAGGTTGTCGAAAGGATTTTTCGAGGCTGCTAGAGGGCAAATAACACACTTGACATTTAAACAGTGTTCTTTCTGTTTGGTCCAGCACTGATGTTTAGGAACCCTGAAGCTCCGTTCTGGATCTTGTCCCTCTCCCCTTTTTCCTTTGTGAAGGATTTTTATCTGATTAAATTTCATTTATCACCCCAGCGTTAGATCAGTGCCAAGTTAGCAACTCTGGACCTGGTATTTCCTACCCACACTTTCCTGTCCTACTGCTGTCCTACCTATGAGAAAGGCTCAAGGGGACACAACTCTTACCTGAGCAATGACACTTTTCACATTCTACCAGCTACCACCCTTCTTTTTTGACCCTTTCCTCTGCCTGGCATCCAATTCTTCTTTTAATTTACCCCTCACCTGCTCGTGCAACAGTTCCAATCTAGAACATGATCATCTTATGCCTGAAATTACTTCCACATTTTGTTTCCCTCCCTAACTTCTCCTCTTACCTCACAACCTAAGAAACCACCAGTTTCCGTCTGTCCTACAGTCACCAAGTACCACCGTCTTTGGGCGTCACCTGGACCACATCAATGATCTTAGAATTCCTCCGGGGATAACTACTTACACTGGGACTTCGTCTGCCTTGCCAAATCACTGTTCCTGCGCTTTGCTATCTCCATCTAACTGCTTTCATCCTTCGCTGTATTAAGAAGTCCCACGTTCTCTTTTCTAGTTAAGCAAGTCAGTTATTTTCTTCTTCAACCTCTGCTTATAAAACGGATCTTATGTTACAACCGAGGGACACAGGATGGAATGCTGCCCGTGATAAAAACAAACAAACAAAAAAAACAAAACCTACAGCATCCTGCCCTCTCGCCACTCTTCTATCCCTTTATGAGATCGCTGCTTCAGGCCAGAGAGGCAAGAAATGTCGGGGACGGCGGCAGGGAAGGCCGTCCTTGCATGAAGTACACTGCTTCCCTTTTCTGCTTCTCTTCACACCCTTAGCTGAACAAGTTGTTTCCCTTCCTCAGAACCACCACCACCTACCTCCTAAATATTGCTTAAGACATCTTCTTCAGTGCGGTTTACCACAGTAATCCCACCTAATTCCTGTCATTCCAGTAATCTGTTAGCGCCACTGTCTTTTCCAAATATTTATCTCCTATATGTGTTTTGGTCTTTTTCCATGGTTATAATATCCTCACTGTGGCTTAACTGCAGCTAACACTGCTTTTGGTGTTCGGGTAAGGATAATTACTGTGTACACATAAGAAGCGGGTTGCAAAACAGGAAGCCTTTGCAACAAAATTGGTGCATACAGTAGGCACTCAACATACTTGTGGCAACTAGAGATCAGCCGATGTATAGAACACATTTGAATTTTAGGCGTGTATAGGCTTATTTTAACAAATCAGCTTATTGTATTACATCATCTGTAACAGTACTATTCTTAAGAGCCATAATTTATCTCTCTCAATTCTTTCAAGTGCCTTCCTCCAGGGGCATTCCCAGATCTAATTATAATGTGGTTCGTGTTCATACCACTCAGATGGAAACTCTCTCCTGCTAAATTCTGACTCTTACCTATGCATTTATATGTTAGTCTGAAAGTTCATGAAAATTAGAAGCAAAAGACGCATTTCCCTTAACCAGGTATCAATAAGAGGCACAGATTAGTGGCAGTTCTGTGTGTATAGCTCTGAAGGTACCATATATTCAATACATAACACACACAGCATTCACTGTCAATCAGCCTACTGTGTGACTTACTGATTTTGAGTATATATTATACGCAAATGTAATATAAAAATCCTTTACAGGCAGAAAACTACACCTCGTATATTCATTTCCCTCAGGGAAGTGAGTACCTAATAGGCACTCAAGAAATACTGATAATTCAGACTAAATGTACTACATCTAAAAAAGAACCTATCTCCTAAAAGAGTAGTTTTTACCCTCTGTCATATCATGGATGCCTTTGAAAATCTGATTAAATGCACATACTTAACATCTGTGTACCCAACAGAATTCCACTTGTTAGGGTGGCTTTTAGAGCCAAGTTGAGAAACTGCTCCAAAAGCCAACGCTCAGAGAGGAACCCTCCCCGCGCCATGCTCACTCTCAGAACCTAGACGAGCTCTCCGTACTTCATACCTGGACTGTTAACAACAGGCTGCAAATCAGTCTACAGGCCTCTTCCCTCTTCTCCAAGTTACTACCAGAGCCATCTTTCTAACATCCTGACCAAATCATGTTTTTCAGTTCTTAGACTTACCAGAAGAAAACAAACCCTCTAGGACAGCAGACAAGGCCTGTTTTGGGCTGCTTCCTTCTCCCCTACACTTTGAGCCTCACCCCCGTTCTCATCCGCCGCTACCCTCTGTGCGCGTGTGCTTCAAGGACAAGGCTTAGGGCTTTCCCAGAACCTCCTTCCTCACTGTCTGCCTCCCATTACATTCTCTAGGTCACAGCTAAAGACTGTACCTTTCTGTGGAGCCTCCCCAGGTCTCATCAAGCAGTGGAGAACAACTTCCGCCACCTGCATAGCTCTGTCAAAGCCCTTAGATTACACTTTAATGGTGTTTGCATGACTATCTCCCCAGCCACGTGTCTTCTCATCTTTCTGTTCTTAGGCCTGGCTTATTGTAGGAACACAAGAAATATTTGTTGAAAAAGTGAACTGGACACTGCAAAGCACAACTGTCATACAAAAACTATAGTGATCACTGGAGGTACGGCCATAAAGGCTAAAATGCATCCACATTCTGCATCCCTTTTCCCCTGCAGTGTTTGGTCTGAGGGCTAGCAAAGCCTTTTAAAGGTATGTAAAAGCACATACCTTTTCTAAAGCCTCTCACCTCATTAATTTATATCTGGAAATGAAGGCTTTGCCACAGTCTGGCTGCAAGCACTTGTAAGGTCGCTCCCTGGAGTGGGAATAATTGTGGATAGTGAACTTCTCCAGGGTGAGGAACGTCTTGCCACATAATTGGCAGGGGTAGGTGGCCATGGGCTTTGTCTCTCACACCTTCCTTTTCAGATGCGCTGACCAAATGCTGTGCCATTTAAGTACAAATAGAAGGACGGTGCTGAGCACATCAGCAGAGCCACAGCAGCTGACCGCCAGGCCAGGGGGGAGGCAGCGTTGTGGTCCCGGACCTGGTTCTACCCAGACATGGGCCTCTCAGTTACCACTATCTCTGCTTCCTGCTTCCCACATCCCAGTTTCCACGCAGTCTCAGGTTGAGAGGAGCAAGTCTGAGGCATGGATGAGGTTCCAGAGCAGAAAGGCGATCGGCATCGCTAGAGCTGGGGCACGTCCTGGACCACCAGACTGTCTGTGGAGAGAAGGGGAACAGTTGCCTTGCATTTCATCGGAAAACAGTGCTGCTCCTCCCCCCAGCTCAGCATCAACTCCCCGGAATCAACGTGCTCCTTTAAATGGCCTGAATGCCGCACGACTCTCCATCGTCCTGTGTGCTTTAAGAGGTCCTTCTGCATATAAATCCACCTGTCTGTGCTGCTCCTGGGTGGCAGGAGTCAAGTGCACAGTGTTCTGACGGTAGATGAAGCACACTTTCCCTTGTGATAGAGACACAGCTATTTCCATAGAGTCGGTATCATCGACTTCAAACCATGATTTCGGGTCATTGTGAAGTTCAGTCTGCCAATTCAAAGAAAAAACAAAAAAACCTCCCCAGTGTGTTCAAGTGTTTCAACTGGTACAGAAAAAAAAAAAAAAATCATCCCTGCTTATTCAAACCATGGGCCAGTCCTCTTCACTCACTGTTGGCAGAACATAAGTTGTTTATCACACCTGTTTAAACTTCCAGGGGATGAGCCGAAATAATCTGTATACATAAGTTAATTTGTTTGTGAGGTTACCGTGCAGGACTCAAGTCTACGATGTAAACAAAGTGGGAATAAAGCTAGTTTAGCTCACTGACGTGGTGCCTTTAGGGGGGAGACAAGAGATTCCCACAGAGACAAAGGGACAGCTCGGGCAGAGCTCAGCGCACACTTAGATGTGCAGGCACCATCCTGCAGGAAACGCTTCTACTACTCTTTTCCCCTTCCGTTTATGGGGACATTTCCTCATTCCCCAGCCCCAGCCTGGGGGACCAGCTACCTGTTGGAAGGCCACTCCTAGGAGGTGGGCTTGCCGCCTCAACCTGCCTCAAATCCCAGTTATTAGCACCCTTCCAACCCAGGCAGATCACCCAAATCCAGGCTCCTCTTCTACCAACAGACCATCATTTGGAAGCCTTAAGAGTCCAAAGCAGCATCATGAACAACACAGTAAAGGCCTGGCTACCTAGAATCCTGTGCTATTCTAGACAGAATCAATCCTCAGGCAATGGACAATTAACCTTTCGAGTGCCAATATTAAAAAAAAAAAAAAAAAAAAATAGCGTACTGTATGCTTACATTAAACACACTGGAGTAGCTTTTGTACCCAGGCCAGCTTTTTCTGAACTTTGTCAAATGAGCAGGGCACTCATGGCAACCTGACCAATCACAGCAGATCTTCAAGGCATCTGTTCCCTGCAGTCATTCATTTATTGCCAACTCTTTTAGAGCTGCTCTTTACTGTTAAAAGTTAATTTTTACTTACCTTTGTAGTTACTTTCAGATCAGAAAGTTGGAGTCTAGCTAGATGGAATTTTACTATAATAATAGTTCAAGCATCTTTAAACATCAGCACCTAGCACATGCAACATAGACAAACACATTCCTTTTTTAAGAGGCAAAAAGTGCAGGAAACTTCTTGTGTTCCTCATCAGCTAGCTCAGGTGTTTTTAGAGTCTGGTCAGAGTTCACAAGGAGCCAGCACCAGGCAGACACCCCTCACCATCCTGCCCCACCTGCTTGGAACCTTCAGAGCTGACGTGTGCACTTTGACCTGAGGCTTCAAGCACTGATCCAAAGCCGGGGACACCGGCGTTCTCAGCTAGCATCTTGGCACCAAACCTCCCTCTTCTGATGGCGACACACACACAGCTTATTCCTCTGTGACCAAGTGTGACTTGAACTGAGCCCCTGTCCCAGCTCTGTCCAAGCCCCTCTCCCCCAGCTCCTTGCTCCTGCAGCGTCTGCCAGCTCACCTCGTTGCCCGGCCTCGAGGCATCTCTACCACCCTGGCCACAAAGTAATTCCTTCCAGGAATTCTACCCTGTGTGGCCGAGTTTTTGCTGCCAGGACTCATGGTGTGTCCTACTTCTCATCCAGCCTAAGTCTGGCTATAATACTGGCCCAGCTATAAAGGCATAGAATTTATCATCATCATTAAATATACCATTCACTGGAAATTGCTGGGGGTTTTCCAGGTCTATTTTAAGAGATTAAAATGTACACACAATATGAAGTTTGAAATTCATTTTTTTCTTGTTCTCTTTATAGCTGAACTCAGAATAGCGCTAGTCACTCAGAAGGAGCTGGTCTGGCTTCTCAACCTACACCGATCCCCTACGTGTGTACTTTAAACTCATTCTCCCCAGCTGCTGCTTTATTAGAGATGACCAGTGTCCAACAGAACTTTCTGCGACGGAAATGGATGGCTACTGAACACTCAAAATGTGATACCGAGAAACTGAAATTTTTCTTATTTAACTTTAAGGAGCCACAGGAGGCTAGTGGCTGCTGTACTGGAAGACACAGGCACTCTCAGTTTCACTGTCAAAAGAGACAGAAGGCAAGGCTACCCTTACCTTCAGGCACAGCTATGCTGCTCATCTGCCCTCAGGCGTTTCCCTGAAGCACGAAAGGTATTTATGTAGATCCAGTCATTTGTTTTATGAATACAGTAGAAAGATTCCCTACTTCAAATTCCAGCTCACCCCTTTGTTAGCTGTCCTGAGTTTCAGTTTGTGTTAACTATCTGATGCATGTAAATGAGCTGGTAGGGACAACCAACAAACAAGATGGATCTGAAAGTACTCTGTAATCTAAAAACACCGTACAAAATACATGGTAGCATTTATAAACACTGGGATTAACAGCAGAAACCATCAGCTGCAAACTGGCACATGGTTCTAACCACTCAGCTATGGATATAACAGAAAAGAGACACACGTTCTCCTATGTATGCTTCACCAACCGTTACTCATAGTGGGAGGACCCAGTAGCCTGGATAACACACATGCTCGACACACACAGGACATACGAGGTTGCAAGTAAAAACTGGCCCGAGCTCTTTTGTTTCTCAACAGATACCAACTTTGATTGCTCACCAACGCACCAAGCGTACAAAGGAAAAATAAGATTTATTCAAGAAAAAAGTACCTGCCTTTAGCACTGAATAAAGTTCTCCCAGATGCACTTTCCAGCCACTTCCCTAGATTCGGAAGTCCAACAAGCTGTAGACCTCATTGCCTTTCCCTCTCGGGCCTTCAAAGATGGTGGGTATATAATCAAGGCGTTTTAGACATAGCCATACTGTATTTAAATGTGAGACATTTCCTCCAACTCTTTCC